GTGTGTGCCGCAAACATTTTTGAGCTTCGAGAATTGGAGAATGGTGGACTTCGCCTTGTTGACAACCAATGCAGGTTGCGTCTTGTGAGTGATGCGGTACCAAGTCCCGAGGACTTTTCTATCCCTTCAGAGGTGTGTGTGTGTCTAAAATGAGAAGTCATCCACCTCCACAGAGCCATCTTTATTATGGGGGTTCAGGGGGCGCGTAGATCTAGGCTATGCACGGAAGGTTTTTTTTTAAGCGGAAAATTAATAATTTTCAAATATATGTATAGTGTCTATAAACAACTATATATTTTACAATGACATTATAATTATACATGTAGCCTACATTAATATGTTCTCAATAGAATTACGATTACTGTAGGCTTGGCTAATATAGCAGGGCATTCAGTTACTTTTGAAAGGACAATAATAAAGTGTCGTATTTCATAAGACTTTAACTTTGCCAGCTATAAAAAAAAATCTAGCATTTCCTCACGTTTTACCACTGCTTTTAGTGACAGTCGATATGCATGGGATACTGGCGATGACAGTGATGGCCTTACCACACCCCTTCTCACAGCCATCCACGCCCATTTAAGTTGCATTTTTCAAAAAGATTGTGAGCTAGACTTGAGCTGAAAGAGGGGGGGGTTCATGACCCTTTAAAGGTGCAGATATTACAATATACTGATTTAAATATATCAAAGTTGATTGAACACTGATGAGAATATAAATAAATTAACACACAAAAAAAAAACTTTTTTACTCGGACAAGTGAATGACAGATTTACTTGTCCAAAGGACAAGCACATGAAAAGGCTTAATGTCGAGCCCTGCAAATTGCATTTTTTTTGTGTATTTTTTTAATAAATGAATAGATCCGGAGTGTCGTATCATTGACCCAATGACAGATCTGCAGCGTGTTGGTCTACCATCACATGATTAAACCAGCTAGACGAAAACAAGACTCTATTACTGCTTTCTCTCCCTCTATTTTAGACAGATTGATCTGGTCACCTCATCTTGAACTATTGCCCCAAGGGTTCCTCTGTGCTAACACTTCACGTAATAAACCAGCCTTTCATACGCACATGTGCTGCTACCACTTACACTAACCTAAACCTAATGAAACACTTACAAATGCTCTCAGCCTCAGCATGACCTCTAGGTGACCGGTTACCCCTTTTTCAACAGGGGTCGATGGGGGCATGATTTTACTCATGGATATGCTTTTATATTTATGGAGCTAAGGCGTGTAAATACTGCGTGTGAAAAGCAGAATCAAATCAACGGCAGCATGAGAAAGAAAATCAATAAGCATTACAGATGCATTAGATGTGACAGCTACAATTTCATACACCACTTCCTGTCGGCTCCCAGCAATTTCATAACAACACAAAGAAAAAGAGACATTCTTTTTTCAAAACGTGGGAAAATTCATTTCGAAATTTGCTTTAAATAATTCATGCCGAGGCTTTGAGTTTTTCAACCTGGAAAAGGAGAAATACTCATGAAGGAGAGAGAGGTGAACGTCTGTTTTTTTGTAAGTTGTACTTGTCAGGGGCTGTTCTGATCGCTCTGAATTTGAGCGAACACAGCAGGTTAACACTGATTACACTACTGCCGACCTTCATGAAATAAACACAATGTCTAACCTGCGGGCATACACAGACTAGTAACAGTCCACTATTAGGTCAACCAGCCACAAGCTGTAAGACTGCAGTACAGTGAGGACAATGAACATCCCTCTGATTGATCAGAGCTCTTTCACGTTTGTTTTCCTATCAAGATGGGGATGGTTCAAAAGTTTAGGGTCAGTTCGATTTTTTTATGCTTTTGAAAAATACTTGCCATGCACTTAATGGATGAAAAAAAAAGTATTGAAATATTATTACTAGTGCTGTACAATTGATTAATCACATCTAACATAAAAGTTTTTGTTTTGTGTGGGTATGTGTACGTATATGTCTAACACACCATGCACACACATGTAAAATACATATAAATATAACAACACAGTACACACACATATAGTATGTAAACAAATACATTTATGTTAGATTTAGATTTGACAGCACTAATTATTACAATTCAAAATTGTCTATTTTAAAATATAATTTCTTCCTGTGATGGCAAAGCTGTATTTCCAGCATCATTAATCCAGTCTTCAGTGACACATGATCCTTCAGAAATCATTCTAATACGCTGATTAGTGCTCAAATAACATTTCTTATAATTATAAATGTTATCATAAACAGTTGTGCTGCTTACCATTTTTGTGGAAACCATGATACATTTTTTTCAGTGATCTTTTGCTAAATTACAATGCATTTACTATTACTTTTGATCAATTTTATGCATCCTTGCTGAATGAAAGAATTTTTAAAAATAGTACTTACCCTAGACTTTTTAACAGTAGTGTATATTAAAGGTGCGATAGGTGATCTGGGAAATGCTAACTTTAGCCTGCTAGCATTGAAAACATATGATCCCACCCTCCCTGCAAATCGCTGTCCAAAGCCACGCCTCCTCCAAAACACATGAACGTGCACAGACCAGAAGTGAAACCACCAGAGACAACGTTATTGGACTACATCACGTGTCATTCACTGTTGAGAAAACTTTACAGTACAGTGAAGGGAGAAACAGAAGCGCTTGCTTGCATACATAAGTACGTGATTGTGAAATGACTCCAGTTCAGAAGTTGACAGAGGAAAGAATGCACTGCATTTCAGCTTCAGTCATATGGGATTTCAGGACATAGCGGCAACACAGTCGAATCTCACTGAATTATCTGCATAGGGCATTGTCAGCCGTACATAAAACTGTACTGTCAAACATGAAATGTAGATACCTGCCACTTGTTGTCGGTTCAGAAGGAAATTTAGGTTGTTTGCCTGCCATTCTTGCTCTGTCTGCACAACGTACGTGAAACGCGCTGATGACAAATGATGTCTGCATGAACAGGCAGCGCAGTGGTATGTAAACACACGTTGACTGACAGGGAACACATGCTATCATTTCATTCGGACCGAATGCAGTGATTGAACAAACATTTTATGGTTCTGTGCCTTCCACAGACGATATATATTTATAAAAATACATTTAGACCGCTTAACGTAGTGATTGCTATCAGGATATGCAGTGGCGCAAAAAGTGGGTATGCGCTATATGCGGCGCATAGGGGCGCAGCACCATCGGGGGCGCCAAAGCGATGGTAAATTTTTTTTTTTAATTTAAATTCAATTTTAAAAAAGATATATATATTGTATTTTATATATGTAGCTGCTGTTGTGCGTTTCTAAATCATTTCTGCATTTCTTCAATGTTATATAAAATTTTAGAGGACTAACCATAGACTGTAAAAAATACTAACAGGCTAGAGTAGGCGCCCTCATGGAGAAGGGGGGGGGGGTAATATCGCGTGCGGGCGGTACCTGAGCGAGCAGGTACGAGTGGCCTAGTGAGTATCCATCGAAAAAGACAGATAAAACAAAATGCTGGGGGGCTAAAAATAGAAAAAGAAAGAGGGAAAAGGAGATGGCATGTCAATTGATGCGACAGCAGCTAAATAAGTGCATGCTGAAAGCCAACAGGTAGGAAATAAAGTGTGACATCCAGGCATGCAGGCTATCTGTACCTCTGTGGCCATCGGGACTACCGGGAGATTCCCGGTGGGCCGACCGACGTGCTTTTTCGCCCAATACATCTCATACTTTTTTTCTTTTTTTTTTGTCTTAACGGCCCATAAAACTCGTACATCGGCGGCCCATTTGTTTTTTGCTTAATTGGCGGCGCTGGGTTAGTGCCGGTGTAATGCATTGGTCAAAAAAAAGTCAGCGTTAGTGTTTTTCTGACACACCGGCCCATGAAACATGTCATCATGTGCTTATATCTTTCAATATAGAAATTAGTACAAAAGTTTTTCAGTGCATTTGTTTTACAATATATGGCGATTACTATCATGGGATTAATATTACAACTATTATTATGTAGTAGTGTAATGTAGACAGACACTAACTAAAAGAGGTTTGAATTTTTCTTTGTTTAATTTGCACCCTGAATATGGGTTGGAGCTTTTAATTTTGAACTCTCAAAGTGCACCAGACTGCTGAATTTAACATTAAAGAACACAAAATTATCTTACCGGGGGGCATGCCCCCGAACCCCCCTAGAGAAACAGAGGTCCACCTACCACAGTTTTACCTAAAATCCTGTGAGAAACACTGGTATTGCTGTTCCAATGGAGCTTATAGTTTCTTTGGGGTTCATCACGGTGGAGTAGCTATAGTTTAATTGTATTAATAAATGACAATTTAGCACTTATTTTATCTGTTAGCTCTCACTCGTTCCTACTCACGTATTACATGGCACACTTATTTTTATTTTATTTTTTGGGGGGCGCAAAAATTGTTGCTGCATACCCCTCTGACACTGGGTAGTTGCGCCCCTGAGGATATGATGAGATTTTCAACCAGCATAACAAAAAAAATTCTGTAGAGAATCACCTATTGCACCTTTAAAATGCAATTCATACATAAAGTGTTATGACTTGAAAACACGTCTTCTGTGATGACTAATTTAATTAGTGAAAAGAAATCAATCTTTCATTGTCATGTGCTAAAAAAATATTTTCACAAAACTGCTTATTCATATTTTACTTCTACAAAATCAAGGGCATGTGGTCCAACAAAATATCAGGAAAAAAAAGGAAATGTTCTCATAGAGAGGATCATCTCATAATTGTGTCTCAAGGTAAATGAGTCAAAGCAAGTTCAGTTCATGTAGTAAAAAGGAGCACTAGTCATATTTGACTGTTTGATGCTTTAGTACAATATTGAGAAAAGTGATATTCAAGTCAAATGTAATTGAATCATTCAAGAAAGTGGCATCTAAAAGAAGAAATCATCCACAGGTTGTTTAATGTGTGAATTTTAGAAGTGTGTCTGAATATCTGAATAGAGATACACAACATACTAGAAAGACAACAGAAGCACAAGTCATGTTTTATCTACCTTCCATGCAATGCGGTTGCCTTTAGAATCATGTTCCAGGGCGATGGGGAAGTCTCCACGCTCGTAGAACTTACGGAAGGCCGTGGGTTTAGCTGGCCTCTCTCTGAAAGCCCCTGCAGCCGGAGGGCCCACCACCTATAGAACACACAGAGAGAGAAAGCCTGTCAGATACCGTGTCATCAGAGGGAATGGCAGTCCTAAAAAACCATCACAGAAAATGAAATGCGTTTGATCCTCTTTCATCTCAATGTAAATCTGCTTTCATTCTGATGTCTGAGGAAGCATTTATCTGTTTTATAGCCACACACAACAAACCATAAATTATTCACGATGCCTCCCTCATAAAATACAATCTGACAGATCACACAAAGTATGTATTAGCAGCATAAATAAACTGATGCATTCGCCACAACATACGGGATACTGAGTACGTGACAAGCTAAAGAAAATGAAATAAGAGATGTTTATTCAGGAACACAGTTGAACTCATGAAGGCCCCTGCAGTGAGAATGTGGCAGCCCGGGGCTTTGCTCCAGGCCTTGGCGTTAAACTCTGACTTCATCTGAATAAAATCATGCAGCAAGTCACACACTGGTGCTGTTTTGCTTAATTGCAATGGTTGTTCAAATTTAAATGAATGCATTAAGCTAATGGTTAACAATGCAAATATGCTAATGTGTTTATATGAGAATCATGCTCTTGGCACATTCATGCATATCTCTGTGGCCACAAACAAACTTTTGCAGGAGGGAATCGAGTTGTCTGAATGAAAAATAGGAGTTGGACCTACTATCCTGAATTTGTGATTGATATATTCTTGCTGTAAACATGAATTACAAACGCCAGCTAGGCTATTTAACCATTAGCTGGTTGAGCTCATTGAATCAGTGAGTTGAACTTGAAAACAAACCAAAAAAGTCCAGTTCGTGAACAAATCATTTAAGGAAATTTTGGCAAGCAAAAACTTTCTCAAGCAAAAAATGTCAATTGTCAAAAGTGTAGACTCTGTTATTGTGAGCTGTGCTTCATATATCTCTAAAGATTATTGGAGTATGTTTTACAAGAAAATACTTTTCTTTTTACTTCAAAATGTCACTTTTAATTTAATGTGGTACTTGCCGTTTCTTTGTAATTATTGTGAAAATTGTTTCTATTTCAATTGTTGATGTTTTTTCAGTGACTTGCTTATGCAAAATCCCAGATTAAAGGAACTCTAATTTAAATGACTGGATTTCTCCAGCAAAAATTTAGCAAACGACAGTAACTTACCGCACCTTTAGGGGGCATTCACACAGGACGGTGAATGCTCCCTAAAATGCCCCCTGAGTTTTTTCTATGTAAATATCTTGCATAAAGCAAAACCTTGTTCTGTGTGATTGGCCCTTTAGACTATTCTTTGCTAATTTAATCAAGTGATTAATTGAAGAGATCAGATAACGATTAATTTACTGTACTTCTCTCAGGAACTTTCATGAACGCTTCGAGATTGCATGGATTTCTATAGAAATGACTGGATTTCAGCTGTGAAAATTCAGTGATCAACAGTAAATATGACTACCCATGTTTGACCATTGCGCTTGTGTCCCACATCTCGCTTCTTTTGCAGCATCTCACACATGATATTCTAAAGAAACGTGTCTCTTTTTTCATTCCCCATGCAGGAATGCTCCAAAAATAATTAGGGCAGATGTCAAAATTTTCAACAAATTTTTAGAAGACTGAATAAAAATAACAGAATATTCATTATTGGACAAACTATTTCATTGGAGAAAAAAAATCAGAAAATGAATATATAGCTGCACCAATGCCTGTGAGAAGATTCAATCTAATCCATGAGACTCCCTACTCAATTAAAATAATTTATTTAGATGGCAGCAGAATTTTAACAGATGTCATTCAGCCTGTGATGACCAGGCAGGAAGTAAATGTTCTCCACACAGTAAGGGTCAAGTGAGCAATTCCTGTAAGTGAAGGAAGATGATGACAGCACAGTCCATTCTATCTGCCGTTGAACTGAGAACACACACACACACACTCATCTGGGAAGTGAGTTGTGAGTCCTCAGCCATCTCTTTCTATGAAAGCTGTGTTTCAATCACTGAAAACCGCTCTACCTCAGGGAGAGAGAGCAGCTCATTAATCCTCGGGCTGACTTCGCATTGGAGAAGGTGTAATTCCGCGAAGGTGATCAATCACCTGCCCAAGCTGAGGCCACATCTCTCTAGCTCTCTCTGGGCGCCTAAACTGCTTCTGAGAGCATCTGATGGATGCTTGGTGAGTGGCTGCAGCTCTCCGCTTGGGCAGGTGAAACCCGCATTAACATTTCCACTGCTCTCTCTCGCCCTACTTCTCTCATAGGACACATTCCCCTGACAATATCATTCAATTTCTTATAATGTGTGTGTGTGTGTGGCTGGTGACTCACTAGGTTTAGCAGAAAAAACAGAGGCTGCTCTGATAAGGTCAGAATGCACACAACTGCTGCAGGCAACTAAATTACCTCCCTTTATTCATGGAGCATTCACCTCCACACTTCACACACATACTCACCGATCCACCCACTAATACACATGCAGTCATACACACACACACACACACACACACACACACACACACAATCTAAACGGAAGGTCCCCAGAAAAGTCACCCAGCACCAAACTTGTCTGTGTAATCTGGAATGAGTATTCATTGTAGAAGCAAATGGGGAAATATGAGTGTCAGCTGTTTGATATGGTGTTAATGTCCATAAAACCATAGAGGCTTTAATCTTATTTTACAACTTTCCTAAATAATGATCCAATTTATACAAGACAGACAGACATTATATAACGTTTACACTGCAAGTGTGAGATTTTAAATAAATAGCCTTCTGTGATGGTGATAAAACTCTGAAATATCACTGTCTGGTTTGTTCGGATAGGACGTCTGCTTTCGACTTTCTTCTGTGACATGCTAAACATACACAACCGTTCAAAAGTTTGGGGTCAGTATGATTTTTAAAAAAGAAATAAATACTTTTATTCAGCAATGACGTGTTTAATTGATTAAAAGTGACAGTAAATACATGTAGGCCTATAATGTTACAAAAGATTTTGATTTCAAATAAGTGCAGGTCATTTGAACTTTCTATTCATCAAAGAATCCTTAAAAAATGTATCACGGTTTCCACAAAAATATTAAGCAGCACAACTGTTTTCAATATTGATAATGATAATAAATTGTTCTTGAGCACCAAATCAGCATATTAGAACGATTCCTGAAGGATCATGTGACACTAAAGACTGGTGCATGATGCTGGAAATACAACTTTGAGGAATTAATTACATTTTACATAAAATTTATATTCCACAATATAGGCCTAATTGTTATTACTGTTTTTTATAAAATAAATGCAGTCAAGGCGAGCTAAAGAGACTTCTCATACCCACCCCAAACTTTTGAATAGCCTATAAAAATCTAATACATTTACATTTGTTGTTTGTTAACTGTTTGTTGCAATTAATACAGCAATTTGTTAATCACTTTTAGCTCATCTATTATCAAGTTTGTGTAAGCAAAATCTGACATTTTGAGATTTCCTTCTCTGGGTAGAATACGAAATAAGCAAATAAGATAAATGTAAATCTTTGCCATCAGGGAAACTGGAGCCTAAAGTCGTGTTTAGAGCTTGATTTAACATTCCTCCCCGCTGGTAGCCTGCTGAATTCTAGTCAGTGTGTTGCCCCTGTGAGGAGACAGAGCTCAACTGAGTCACTCCTGATTCTGAGGAAAAATGACAACATGCAGGCAATAACGCCAACGCTCACTGCGGAGAACAAAAGACAACAAGGGATGAAACAAACATGATTTCAATTATGAAAAAGAGTCAGAGTTAAAAGGTTGAAAATGGTTACTTAATGCTTATTTTCTTTAGACTGTAGCTCTACTCTTGCACAAAACCGAAATGCATTTGGACTGGCAACTCAATGGGGCAACATAGGCTACTGTACAAGAAGGCAACCAGCTTTCAGCCTTAATATATCAGCCTGATCATAAAGTGCATAAAGATCACAAACATTTCCACAGCTCTACAAAAACACAAATACAACAAAGCAGAGTAAAATAAATATAAAAATAAAATAAATAAAAATTCTCCTTTGACAACCCTCATTTGCATTTTTCAGCTTTCTCAGTAAAACTCTCCTCCATAATCTTATAATCCTATAAGCATCACATTCACTCAGTTACGGCACAAAAGTTTGCTGAAAATGATGTTGTTGTTTAGAGTTTAATAGTTTTAATCTAAACCTGGATGAGCAATGTGCTGTTGGAAAAGAGATAAAAATTTGCATTTTAAAAATCTGTCATTCCAATTTGTATCAAAGAGAGTATTTTCTGTCCACTTACCACCGGCATGAGAGACTTACAAGCGTTCAAGGCAAAAATGTTAAGTGATAATATTGCCCCAGACATTTCAAATCAGGGAGTAAAAATGGCTAAATATTTATCTATTATGGCTGGGTAAAATTTTAATCGATTCTCATTTTTATATATCGATATAATATATGATATCGATTCTTAAATCCCAAGAATCGAATAGACTAGTCATCCTGTTTTCAGTTGATGAATGAATGGAACATTGTAGCGTGCATCCCATCCAATAAATTGCAATAATCTTTGTGCTTTGTTATTATTGATATGAAACAAAGTCTCAGATTTCAAATTACGTCCATTTACTTTCAAAAACATAAATATCGTTTTGACGTGACATCACTCTGAGCTCAAGAGAACCAGCAGCGCATATGATCTTCTCTTCCCATTGTCCCAGACTGCGACCATAACGAAATAAACATGAATGAGCATCTGAAAGTGTGTTAAAAGATAGAGTACAACTTATCGAAATCCGTATCATGACACATGGAATCGCTCAATCAGTGTTTCAACAGTGGAAAGATGTCAGTAAAACAGCTTGTAAACAATGTCATGTAACAGTGACCATAAACTCGTTAGTCAGCTAGAAAAATTAACTCTAGAGAGGAGCATTTTGTTAAATATATGCACCATATTACATATTCATTATAATTTTTTATGTTCTTCAATATTTAATGCATGTTTGAATAAATCTGGCAAGTTTTTATGACAGCCACCATTTAAAT